GATCCCCAATGGGGGTTCATGAAGGAGGCAACTGATTAATGAAGTTTCTCTCTCAGCGATGTTTCTATCCTACTATCTCTCTCCCTTCCTCTCTCTCTCTAAAAATCAAAACCAGCATATTAAAAAATAAAAATAAAAAAGCAGAGTCTAACAAGATCCCATTTATGCAAAATCATAAGTGAATGCGTGTGATTAAGTGCATGTAATATGTGGGGGGTGGGAGAGAAAACGTGTGGGAGTGGGATTGTCTCTGCATGTGGTGTGTGCACGTGTGTGTGTGTGTGTGTGTGTGTGTGTGAATGGGAGTATATGGTGTGAGTGATGGGGAAAGTGGGGAGTTGCGTGTTTTTTGTGAATGTTGGGTGCACGTGTGCATGAACCCAGGCCCAAGCTGCTCTCAGTTAGGGAATGGGAGTCTCCAGTGTGAAACTTCAGACACTCGCACCAGGCATTGGTTACTGCAAACACCAACACCGTTTCCACAAGAAAAGAACGCAGGCGGGCCAGCCCATTTCATGGCTCTAGCTTCTGCTGCGGGATCCTGCACGGCCTGGTTTGAATTTGGTCCTCCTCTCACTTTGCCTCCTGCGCAAGGAAGACCTGGAGATGCTCCTGGCCCTTCTACTTTGGTACTCATCCCTCTTCAGGAATAATTCTGGTTTCAATCGGCTTGGGTCAGATATCTCCCAAGTATTCTCCTGATCACAGCCACGTCCCCATTGGGAGACACTGAGGTAGCTCAGCAGCCAGTGATGCATTGTGATGAGAAACAGGTGGCTGGCCAGGGCGAGCTGCAGCAGAATTGATTCTTTGAATCTGGCACCTGTCACACAGCATAATTACTAGTCCCAGTTATCCCACCCTCACCCCCACCCCAACTGCTGTGTATGTATTATATCTCAGAGCTTAGCAGAGTCTCTGGTGTGGACATGCCTCAGTTTGCCCCACTGTTCACCCACTGAGGAACATTTGGGTTGTTCCCAGTCTGGGGCTATCTATATCTATAAAAGCCTAAGCAACCGTTATGACCAACTAGAACGACCAGATCGACTGGTTGACCAGTTGCTATGATGCTCACTGGCCACTATGGGGCAGTGCAGGAGCTTCCCTCTGATGGTCAGTGCACTCTCACAGTCAACCTCCCATGGCCCCTCCCCCGAGCTGGCCAGCCCTCCTATTGGCCCTGATCAGGGGGGTGGCCAACCAACCTCCCGGGGTCCATCCCCCTGGCTGCTTACCCCCACCCCAATAAGCTTCTTTTTCTGCTCAGCCCAAGGGACCCCACCCATGCACAAATTCATGCACTGGGCCTCTAGTTATGAATAAAGCTGCCAGGAACAGTGATGTGTGAGTCTTTGTATGAACACATTCATTCATTTCTCTTGGGTAAATAAGTACCCAGGAGTGGAATCTTTTGGTCATGGTAGATGCATGTTTAACATTTTAAGACACTGCAAAACTTTTCCAAAGTGATTACAGCATCTTACATCCCAGCAGTGTTTGAGAGTTCCAGTGTCTCTCCTCCACCACCACCACCAACCCCCCCACCCCCCACTCATCACCAGCGCTTTGTATGGTCAGTCTTTTGTTTTTTGGCCATGTAATAGATGTTAAATATTCAGGGATTTTGAGAGTTACACTCCACCATTATTAAAAACTAGAGGCCTGTTGCACTAAGATTCATGTAAGAATTGGCCTTCCTTCCCCTGGCTTCACTCCTGGCCACCCAAGAGCCGGCAAGTCCTCACTCCCAGCCAGAGCACGGTTCCTGTAGCTCCCTCTACCTCCCCACCCTCCCCCTCATAGCAGGTGTCCCACCCCACTCACCACTCCATGCCTGCGTATGCAAATTAACCCATCTTTGTTGGGTTAATTTGCATACTCGCTCCTGATTGGCTGATTGTCACCACAGATGTATGGTCAATCTGCATATTTCTTTTTTATTAGTGTATATTAAATTTTATTACTTCCACTTAAATTATATTAAAAATTAAGAAGATAATCAAAACTCATGTCTTATTTCACCACATTTTACTATTACCTATCATGTTCATTTGGTGGGAATCTATGTTGCAGTGTGCTGCTGGGAATGTCTTCCCAACTTCACATTCACTGACATCATGTGCAGCCTGAAATTGACCTGGTGGAGGGATTTACACCATGGGTATCAGCACATGCTACAAACCAGAGTGTAAACTATTATTGTTTGGTTGATTAGGTACACTTGAATCTGTAGTCATTCCATTATGAATAGCAAAAAAAAAAAAAAAAAGAAAGAAAGAAAGAAAGAAAGAAATTTTCTAATATCAAAATGTTATCCAGTTCAGCAAAGAAGTCACTTATGTCACCAACGTATGTGTGAAGTTCTGACATACATCTTTGTTGTTTCACTTTCATCTTATTAAGACAAATGAAACTATCAACCAACATTGTAGTGAAGAACCACGTTCATTCATCAGTTGCAATTGAGGGTGGAGTACAGATACAAAAGTTTGGCAAAAGTAAACGAAGGGGTTGTGTGAGAATCAACTGGCCACATTAAATTTATAAATAGCGTATTGTGTATGTGATGGTATATTTCGCATAGATTGGAAATTTCATTACGTGTAAATTGTGTGCTTACATCCTTCACACCAGTAAAATGGATAATAAACTTATTAAACATGAAGGAGAGACCCTATCCAGGTTATCTCAGTGGATAGAGCATCCTGAAGGGTCCCAGGTTCCATTCTGGTCAGGGGCACGTACCTCAGTTGCAGGCTCCATCTCAACCCTGGTCCGGGTGCATGCGGTAGGCAACCAATCGATGTGTCTCTCACATCAATGTTTCTCTCCACCTCCATTCCACTCTCTCTAAACATGAATGGGAAAATATCCAAGGGTGAAGTTTAACAAAAAAATAAAAAATAAAATGAAAACATTCTTTTAAAAAATATAAAGGAGAGAGAGAGAAAGAGAGAGAAATGATTTATATTTACTTTCCTGGAAAGCTGCTGGCACCCCATTCGTCAGCACATCACTGCTTCCAGGAAGTAGTAAGGCAGGCTCCAGCCTATATGTGCAGTACAGAAGGCAAGTCCAAGCATGGGCTCTGAGAGCGCACCCACAGCCAGGCTACCATGAGCTCAGGAGAGCCCAGAGTGGTGACAGAAAGGCACCTGGACCGCCAAAGATGGGAAGGCACTGAACCAAGTCACTACTCTGGGACGATGGCAGTGGCCACAAATTGGGGTGTCGACCTGCTCCCCAGGGCCTGGAGTCCAGCCCCTCCTGGCTTACCGGCTGAGTGTGAAGGGACCCTTTTGGCATCACTTACTTCATGAGTCAGTGGCCCAGGGCCTGGCCAGCCAAATAAAGGGGACTCGGCTCTGCTGGGGCACCAGCGGATCTGAGGAGCCCTGGCTGCCTAGATCCTCGTGGTGCCCCAATTCTTTCAGCTCCTGCCTGGTACAGGCAACTGACTGAAGGCCTCACACCGGCCATGCCTTGTGGTGCGTCCCAGGTGGGTGCTTTCCTGAGGCAACTAGCCCTTCTCAGGGGGCTCCGCAGTGTACGGGCCACATTCCCAAACTGGCCTCTGCCCATCTTTCCCTTATCTCACTCCCTTCCCACCCCTTCTGTTCTGTCTCTGGCCGGGCCCAACCCCTTTACTTATTTTTTTTTTAAATATATTTTTATTGAGAGGAGGGGAGAAGGGGAGAGAGAGGAACATCAATGATGAGAGAGAATCATGGATCAGCTGCCTCCTGCATGCCCCACAGTGAGGATGGAGCCTGCAACCTGGGCATGTGCCCTGACCGGGATCAAACCATGACCTCCTGGTTCATAGGTCGACACTCAACCACTGAGCCACACCGTCAAACTGCTTCTTTTTCCCTCAGTAGCCATCCTCCCCCTCCAGGCCCGTTCTCCCTCTCCACATAGCTGTCTGAGAGGTATTTTAAAAACAGAAACCAGATCCTGCCCCTCTTCTGCTTACAACCCTCTGTGGCTCCCCATTGCCCTCGGGGTCAGTCCGGACCCTCTGGCCCAGGGAATGCGGATGATCTGACACGGCCACTGCCTGTGATCTGGCCTCACCATTCCGCCACCTTGCACATTGTAGTGGCTCTAGTCACATTGACCTACTTAGGGTTCCCCGAACGGGCCCAGCTGGATCAAGACTCAAGGCTCTGCTCTTGCGAGTCATTCTCGGGTGTGGCCAGCCCACTCCTGCGCACCTGTTCTCCCTGTCTCTTGAACATCCCTTCTGTGCCTTGCCCCATTGTTTGGTGACACAGGCGGGCCCCCCAGAAGCAGGTTAGCTGGCTCCCCAAGAAGCCCAGCCGAAGCAGCTGCCCTCCCCACGGAGCAGCCTCCAGGTCCTCCTCAGGCCTTGCCCTGAGGGACAAGGGGCCCAGGACGGACTCACTGCACCAGCTACCCCACCTCTTCCACACGCCTCAGGTCAGCTCTGCAGCCCAGCCCGCCTCTGGGTGCAGCCTAGCGCCCCCATCACACCCCTCACCCCACACACTCCAGTGGGCCCTTTTCCTGCCAGGCGCTGTGTTAGTCTACCAACCTATCATATCATTCCATCCCAGAGCAGGGGCTCCGGGAGAGGGAGGAGCTGGCAAGAGCTGGAGCTGAGCTTTGCCCCGGTGGCTCCGCCCCTGCTCCTCCTCCTCCCGGAGAAAGCCGGAGCTCCTTGGGGGCTGGGGCAGCCGCTCCTTCTTTCTTGGGGCCACAGCAGATGTCCCTACATCCCTGTTCACTCATTTCTGAGGTGACAATGCAAGGAGGCAAAGGTAGACCAGCCGAGGAGGCCAGTGGCTTGAGGCCCACAGCCTGTGAGCACTCAGGTCTTTCCCATCCCACCCCACCTCCAGCCCTGAGCTCCCTGCAGGGAGAGGCCACCAAGGGCCAGACCTGCGGGGCTGCCCCCTGGGCCCTGACTGGGCTCCCTCCCTGGCCCTCTGGGCAGGGCATGGGGGGCGGTGAGCAGAAAGTCAGCTGGTGAGCAGTTGGCAATGTTTATTGTAAGGCAGGGTGAAGGGTGGGAGCCTGAAGTGGCAAACTCCAGGGGGTGAGGCTGTGGGCTGGGTAAGCCAGTGCCCAGGGAAGGCCTGACGAGTGTCAGGCTAAGAAGATGCCCGGCTGAGGATGGGGCCAGGGAGAGAGGTAGTGGTCCAGTGCCTGCTCCAGACCTCAGTGGGGCCGGATGGTCAATGCTGGTGCTGCTTGTGGTACAGGAAGTGGACCTTGCCCCCCTGGGTGGTGACATTACCTAGCCCCTGGCACTCAGTCCTCCAGGCTCGGGCTGTCGGGCGGCGTGTACATGGGCCGGATGTGAGCCCAGCTGCGGGCCTGCTCGTCGGCCCAGGTGAGCAGCTCGGCAGCGCGGTGCAAAAAGACCATGAGCAGCGTGTGCACATCCCCCTCGGCCGAGTGGGCCGCGCTGGGCTCTGCCTGGAAGTAGCGGCGAAAGAGGCTGCCCAGGCTGTAGCCCTTGCAGCCCTGGGCCCGGGTGCCATGGCTGTGGGCACGGTCCAGGCCCCGCAGGGCTGGCAGCGTATCCAGGCAGGTGGTATCCCGCGGCAGGTGGGCACCTAGGCGCTGCAGCTCCGTGCACAGCAAGGGGAAGTCGTAATCAAAGCCGTTGTGAGCCACGAGGCAGATGGGGCCCTCCTGGCGGCTGAGGAAGGCCTGCAGCGTCCGCACCACGGCCTCGTCGAAGCCGGCCTTCCGGCACTGAGCCAGGCCCTCGCTGCTCAGGCCCGTGATCTCGCTGGCCTTGGAGGTGAAGGGGCGCTCCGGGCACATGCACAGGGTAAGCTTGTCAAGGATGCGGGGCAGCACGGGGGTGCCAGCCTCATCGCGCTCTGGGCTCTCCAGAGAGGAGCGGTGGACGGCGAACAGGGATATCTCCGCAATCTCGGGGTCCACATTGGGGAGCCCAGTGGCTTCCAGGTCCAGGAAGACAAAGGTCTCAGCCCGGGGGACCTCAGACATGGTGGCGTTCGCACGGGGACAGTGACACCTAAAGTTGCCAGAGCAAGAGGCACAAAACCTGAGGGCCAGGGATGGGGCTGCCTGGGCCCAGCCACCTGCAGATGCCCCAGTGGCCAAAGCTCCAGCCCCTCTAGGTCTCCTTCCCGCCACCCACACTCCATCCAAGAGGACCTGAGGCTTAGGGGCGACTTTAAAGGCCCACATTCAGGGAGCCTGCCAAGGGGCCTCCAGAGCTTGGACCTGGGGCCCAGGAACTGTCACTTCTGTCCAGGATGAGGCCTGTCTGGGGCTCATCACCCCCTCCATTCTGGCCCCCCGTCCCTCCTTGCCCATCCCCACTACTAAGCAGTGAAGGAAGCAAAAAGAAGGCCTGTCTTCAGGTCTAAGTCATCAGAGACGTGGAAAAGAATAGCCCAGAATGGTATCTTTACTGAGATACCATGGCCCAGAGCCTCAGGCATAGCAGCCCCAGTGTGCACCCCTAGGCTCAGCTGCCAGGAAGCAGGCACTTGAGAGAGCCTCCGTCATCCCCGGCCTCCCTGGCACTCAGGCGCTGGCCCCAACCTGGCCTCCACCTGCCTCTGGGCCCTCAGCGGCTGTCCTCGCCAACCCAGCCACGCTGGCTTACCTGGGGCGGACGCTGTGGTGGCTTCCTGGGCTGCCGGGCACCTGTCTCCTGCACACAGGCTGCTCCGGGCGGCCTTTAATCAGTGCCCTTTAATCAGCAGCCGTGGCCCGCCCTCAGCCGCCTGTTGGGCAACGAGGAGGCCGGAGGCCGCAGGACCTGTGTGGCCGGCTCGCCATCCCCTTACTCGCTCACAGCCACCGGATACACACACACACCCGTGTTGACAGATCGGGAAGCAGGCTCCCCAAGGAGAATCTCGGCCAGCCCATCGGCCACGGGCCGAGGACGTGTCGTCACAGGCATGAGGAGGAAGTGCGAGCCTCCCGCCCAGCCGTGTCTGCAAGTCTGAGCCAGCCGGGCCGCAGCAGCTGGGCTTGGCCAACCTGGGTTCGATGCCCAGCCCCACGCTGGGGCACCTCTCAGAGGCATGAGCACCCCCCTTGTCTAGGGCACAGTCCCCCTTGTCATAGAGGACCAGACTGCCTCTTGTGGGGACAGTGACCTTGGAGTTGGAAAGCAGCACCCGCACACACCTTATTCGGCCATGAAGGCGAAGGGTGCACTCTAATGATGGGGCCTTAGTAGCACCCCCGTGACTAGGGGCTCTTCCTCACCCACCATGTGGCCAGAAAGGGGAAATGGCATCTGCTTCCGGGGTACAATGACCCACAATATCTAAGGAGCCTGTAGCATGGACTTCCGGGTTATGGCAGGGAGGCAGGAGGCCCGGCCCTTTGAGCCAAGTGGGTTCCGGCTAAGCCAATCCCTCCCGTCTGAAGGAGCAGGGGGAGGGGGCTGTTCCAATATCACCTAAAGCCTCAGGACCCCGGGAGCAGGGGTGAAGCCCAGCCCCTCACCTTTGGGCTCCAAGGCCTTCCCAGCCCACCAGGTTCGGCCAAGAGTGAAGGACACAGTTAAGGTAAGAGGCAGGGGAGGCAGCAAGGCCATCCCTGGTCAGGAAACCTCATTCTGGAGCAAGACATGCCAGTAGTTGGCCTGTCAAGTTGTTGGCGCACCTGGACAGTGGTGACCTTGGGCCTGCCTGTCCTCCCACATCCCACTGTAACTGTGTAGGGGATGCCCCAGGCAGGCAACTAGGGTTCGGGGAGGAAGGAGCTTGAGTAGGAGGAGGCCTGGCACCAGCTCCCAGGAGCCTCCGCTTTGCAGCACCCACAGGAGACTCGGGGAAGCAAAGGCCCAGCTGCAGGGAACAGGGCAGAGGTGCCAGTGAGGCTGGTGGAGGCCACCCCCCCCCCAAGGCCTGCGGAGACAGGGGCCCCACCAGTTGTGCCTGTTCTTGTGCTGGGAGGGAGGGAGGTGGCTGTGACAGGCACACTGCTCAGGAAGATACTGGGTCACCCTGAAAAGCCCAGAGAGCAGCTTCCTGGACAACCAGTCTGGTCACCAGCAAGAATTCCCCTGGATGTACCAGGCGCCCTGGGGAGGAGGAAAGAGGGAACATGGGCTGGGTCCACTGGATCCCCGATGTCGTGGGTGCAAGGGACGGGGGTGAGGGACTGCGAGGACCCTGAGACTGATCACAGGAGGGGCTGCAGCTGGGCAGGGGGCAGGCTGTGGTCATAGGTAGCCAGGTGTCATGGCAACGTGGGGATTTCCAGCACTTGGCATCACCAAGCGTGGCAGGGGGTAAAGTGAAGCACTAGGAGCTGCTCGTGCCCATGCAGACCAGGAAGGAGTGGAGCAGGGCCAGGCCCCCCAGGATGGCAGGTGTGGCCCAGGCCCTGGGACCGCCAGGATGTGAAGAAGGGAGGACTGGGCAGCAGGCACCACAGGCCACTCAGCCGGGGCCGGCCAGCAGGAGGAAAGAAGGAAGGAGGCCGTCACGCAGAGCCATGGGAGCAAAAAGCAGGCGAGAGGCAATTTCTTCTAACCTACGGTTTCCTTTTTCTTCAGCTCGCATTGCCCCACCCCCTCCCGACTTTCCCCCCTTTCCACCCGCACCCCCACAAGGAGCTGAAGGATCATGCATTTGAAGGCTATGCCTGGAGAACGTGAGGGTTATAACTGCTTCCCCTGCCGATGGCTCGGTCACCCCGATCACCCCGGCTGCCTCTTCAGAGAATCACTTCCAGATCGAAGCCTTCTTCGAGTCTCTTTTTCAGACTCACACTGAAGAGCTTATACTTCTGGATTAGTTCTTCCATTTTGGAGGCTGCAGAGCAAAGAAAAATACAAACCACAAAGTGAGTCTAGCGCCCCCATGGCCATCAAAGGGCTTATGGCCAAGGTGAGGGGGGGGAGGGGGGAGGAGTGGGGGACATGGGGCTGGTTCCCACAGTGAACCAGAAACAGCTGAACCAGTCGTTGAACGGAGAACAGTGAGGGCCACGCAGATGGAAGGGGGGTGGGGGGACAGGTTGTTGTGACTCGAAACACAAATCAAATGACATGGTCCTTAGTTGTGACCTGCTGCTTTGCCTTCAGGGGAGAGGGACACTGCCACAACATGCATCTGCCTCTCAAGGTACCAACTTCGTATGACCACCGGGCATGGAAGGGTGGGGGAGAACTTGAGCTTGCTCCTCTCCCCCACGCTGAGTATGGGGGTTTCCCTGGCGGTGGCGCCTTAACTTAAACACACCCCTCTTCTTTTCTCCACCAGCCTGCTTCCCTGCCTCCTCGCCCATCCACATGGCAAGGCAGTTAATTGGCATTTGGTCCTGCCCATCCCAAGGGTGACTCTGAAGCTCAGGAATCATGGGGTGTGCCTCCCGGTGACTGGCCCCAGGGAGAAGCTAGAGCAGGCAGACTCCTGGCAGAGCTGGGACCAAGCTTGGCCCACCCCAAGATGGTTCCCAAACACCCTCCCCACTTGACATTGATGCTCTTGCTGGCGTCGCCATAGCCCTCTTCCTGTTGCAATCACATTGCTCCACAAATGGGCTCTTCCTAAGTCACCTTGGGTGTCATCTGCCTTCATGGGATCCTTAGGTTTTCCCAACCTCTAGACCCTCTAGCCCAGCGGTCACCAACTGGTGGCCTGTAGACCACTCACTGGTGGCCCATGAGGTCCAAAAGGTTGGCGACTGCGGCTCTAGCCCATTGCTCTCCCAGGCTGGCCCTGCCCTAGTTGATAAATTAGTTAACATGTCTCCCCTCTGTCCAAGACTCGGGTCACTACCTGGCCCTGTGTTGACTGAGCTAGGCTGGGTCTCAGATCCTAGGCCGGAAGCCCTAAGCCCTCTGGAGGCCGCAGGCTTTCTCTCTGGCCCAGCCCTACATCCTCCATGTTCCTTCCTCTCCTTCTCTGGAGAGCTTGCTAGCCACCTGGCTCGGGCCTCTGCATTACTTCTGTCTTCATTTTCTTTCTACTCTTAGACATTTGTCGCCTCATTTTGTTGTCTACCTTTCTATTGACTTTTCAACAGCCTGGCAAGCCTTTTTAACTTGTAGGGGTGTTTGCTTGTTTTTCTACACTTTGCTGTTCATCTGGACATGATATAAGGCTGTACTGAATGTGGTCAATACGTTCTGGGACTCTAGTAAAACAACGTATAACGAAACCAATTCTACCATAGGCTGAGGGATAAAATAGCATCTCATCAATATTCTAACAAAAGGACATTGTTCGAGGACCTGCTGTATTGAGTATGCGAGCTCATTTCTCTGAAAGGTCCATTAGCCCAGCTTTCCAGGTCTTCTGTCTTTCATGGCGCTGGCCCTGCTGTGTTCTGCTGGAGTCTTCATTCCCTGCAAGGTCTGCCCTCCACCAAAGGAGCTCCGTGGGGGCGGAGCAGCAGGCGCAGATGGGGTCAGCCCATGCCATGGACCCTCAGAGGCCAGAAACAGGTGGACTTCATCTGGGTTGCTGCCTGGGTTTGCCATTCATTCATCTCAATAGGGTCCATTTCACTGGGAGCACCAACCTGTAAAGACCTGCTTGGCTTTCGCCCTCTGCTTCCGGCCTACTTGCCAATGCCCCCTCGCCAGGGCTGTGGGCTACCAGGCACACACACAGCTCCAATGCTGCTTCAGGCTGGCCTTCTGGCTGTGGTTTTCTCCACCCCCTGCATCCATCAAATCGCTCCCATCCACTTTCTAGCTTCCACAAAGCTGCTACAATCTCGATCTCTCTATGCTGGGGCTGTTAACTCCCTCCCTCAGTCCCAGCACAGACAGGGATGCTTTGTTTTCTAAGTGCAATGACATTTTCATGGCACTGGGGACTCCAGAGGCCTGGGAGGTCAAATGGGGCCTCAGGGCCACCCAATGGAGATGGTGACCGGTGAATGACGATGGGACAAGCAACCAACATAATCGGCCTACTGGCATCCAGATTGGTGGCCCAGCTTCTTATACTGGGAGGGGAAGTAGCACAGACACATAGGTGGGAACAGGGGAAATGCATAGGCCATTCTGACTGGTCCTTGGCATGGACTGTGCCTCTGGGGTGTCTACAGCCCAAGAACTCCTTTCAAGCAAAATCAGGAATTGAACTGAACTTGGACATGCCTTCCATGTGTAAGGCAGCACCACCCAAAAAAGTATAAAGGGTGAGGGTGAGGGTGAGGGTGGGGTTCACACATCTTAGACAAAAAGGGCACCTAGCTACAAGGTAAAACTTGCCCTATCCGGTGTGACTCAGTGGATAGAGCGTCAGCCTATGGACTGAAAGGTCCCGGGTTTGTTTCCAGTCAAGGTCACATGCCCGGGTTGCGGGCTTGATCCCCAGTGGGGGGCGTGCAGGAGGCAGCCAATCAATGATTCTCTCTCATCGTTGATGTTTCTATCTTTCTCCCTCCCTCTCCCTTCCTCTCTGAAATCAATAAAAATATATTTGAAAAGTAAAAGGTAAAACTTGCCACCGGTCCCGTGACCATGGCTGAGATGGCACACAATGCAGAAGACTAATGATCACCATTACATTAATGACAGCATGGACTGTAATTTATTAACAGCAATTACACGCATTGGGGGTGAGAGTAATAGTGATAGTGGTGCTTAGGATAAATGTTAGGATATATTTGAAAGTGGAGGATTCTGTTGCAGTTCAGTTCAAAAGAAGAGAGATATGTGAGTGCCCGGTATACATATGGCAAGTGTCAGTGGCAAAGCCAAGAGCGGGGAAAGGTTGGCAGCCCAAGGAGAGGACTAGCTAGAGAATTCATGCAAAGACAGCCTCCAAAGGAAAGGCTCAGAGGCTATGCAGCCTAAAACCTCTCTGGGGGTACACTGGGGAGAAACGGCTATGGGCCCATGATTTAGTACCTGCTGCCTGAGGTGATGGATAAGAGTTGGGACAAACCATAGACTCAGCAGAAAGCGTGAGAGAGGCTGGGGAAACGAGATGCCCACAAGGGAGCCTTGAAAGCTATGCAGGCCCGAGACTGTGCAGATGCCCAGGAAAGACCTGAGAGGGCCCTCAGTGATCATATTTGGCTCAGGGCCCTGAGGCTCAGAGCAAAGAGGATGTGAAGAAGAAAGAACTGTCAACTGTCCAGCGGGTGTTAATAAAAAAGCACTCCAAAAGGGATAAACTCAAAGCAATCTACACCGAAACATATTCTAATCCAACTGTCAAAGCCCAAGACCAAGAGAATCTGGAAAACAAGAGGAGGAAGTGTACAAGGGGCTTCCGTAAGAGCAACAGACACACAATCATCACCAAGTCAGGACAGCGGTTAGCTGTGGGCAGGAAGAAGCATGTGAGGGGTTTCGTGGCCGCTAGGCATGGTCTAGTTCTCAATCTGGGACATGGTTACTCAGTATTGGCTTTGAAATCATTTGAAATGGAATAAAGGGGGGTTGCACAGGGGAAAATATCCAACTATTTCATGTTTCTATCCCTAGGAGTTGAGACTCCTCCCTAAAGGCTATATTTCTTACCAAAGTCTTCTCAATGTATATTTCTAAAATAAAAAAGATAAACTTACTCAGAAAAAAAATATTTAATTGAAACGAAATGAAGCTACATTTTTGCCCCTATCCAGCAGTGGAAATGCCAGAAAGATCAAATCCAGTGCTGGTGAGGATACAGTAAGATGGAAACTGCTTGGCCTTGCAAATGGTGATGAGTCGAGTCTCTCCACCATGACCTCAGGAACCCCATCCTAAGGGCATAATTGAAAGTGGGGACCTACATTTTATGTATGAACATGTTCGCTGCACCCTTTTCATTTTTAAGTATATTTTTGTTGATTTCAGAGAGGAAGGGGGAAGGAGAGAGAGAGAGAAACATCAATGATGAGAGATAATCATTGATCAGCTGCCTCAGCATTCCCCCTACTGGAGATCAAGCCCACAACCTGGACATGCGCCCTGACTGGGAATCAAACCATGACATCCTGGTTCATAGGCTGACACTTAACCACTGAGCCACACCATCTGGGCAGCTGCATTCTTTTTAAAAGCCTGACAATGGGGGAATTATCTAAGTAATATGTGTTTATTGGGGGAATATATGAAGACTACAAAGCAGGATAAAGAAACAAATTAAACTAAACTACCTCTGATTCCAACAGGGAGAAAACAATGTTTACATTCTGGCCCATTCCTGTGAGGGGTTCTTCTATATTATTTTCCTTTATTTATTTTGTTTGTTAAATATTTTTATTGGTTTCAGAGAGAAAGGGAGAGGGAGAGAGAGAGAGAAACATCAATGATGAGAGAGAATCATTGATCAGCTGCCTCCTGCAGGCTCCACACTGGGGATCCAGCCCACAACCCAGGCATGTGCCCTTGATTGGTATCAAACCCAGGACCCTTCAGTCCACAGCCCAATGCTCTATTCCCATGTTTGGCAAACTGCGGCTCTTTGGCCCCTTGAGTGTGGCTCTTCCACAAAATATCATGGCCTAGGCGAGTCTATTTCGAAGAAGTGGCATTAGAAGAAGTTTTAAAAAAAAATTGGCTCTCAAAAGAAATTTCAATTGTTGTACTGTTGATATATGACTCTGTTGACTAATGAGTTTGCCGACCACTGCTCTATCCATTGAGCCAAACCAGCTAGGGATAAACTGTTTTCCTTTAGAAAGCTGAGGTCATCTAGTGCATTTCCTTTTTACCCTGCATTTTTCCTTCAGCACTCTATAATATACATTTCCTCAAGGTGCCATCACCAACCTCTGAAATAAGGAACGCTACGCTTCACCATGTAGACCATTATCTACCTGAATACTACCCAATGGCAAAGCTTCACCTTGTTTTCATCTTACACTATTACAAACCCTGCAACAGTATTAGGAATTACACTCAAACCTGAAAGTGACCTACACGCTCAGTCACAGAAGATGGTAAGCAAATTATAGCGAATGGCTGAACAGAACAGTGTTTGATAATTAAAAATGCTATTATACTTTGGGAACATGGGGAAATGTTTATAATGAGATCCAAGGGAAAGAACATATATATATAGCTAATATGCAAAGTGTAGCCTTGGGAGTTCCCCGGGAGACCAGGAGTTCAATCCACTTGCTATGACATGCGCTGACCACCAGGGGGTGGTGTGGAATGAAGCTGGCAGCAGGAAGGCCCAGATTGGCCCTGATTGCTGGCCAGGCCTAGGGATCCTATCTGTGCATGAATTTTGTGCACCGGGCCTCTAGTAATAATATGAAAGTACACATGTTGTTATCACACTTCACTTATACAAAGAAATTAAAAAAAATGAGAGGGAAAAGAATGGAAGCAGCCCAGGTGGTGTGGCTCAGTGGTTGAGTGTCGGCCTATGAACCAGGAGATCACAGTTCGATTGCCGGTCAGGGCACATACCCAGGTTGTGTGGGCTCAATCCCCAATGAGGGGGCATGCAGGAGGCAGCCAATCAATGGTTCTCTCATCATTGATGTTCCTCTCTCTCTCTCTTCCTCTCTGAAATCAATAAAAATGTATTTGGGAAAAAGGAATAGAGAGAACTAGACCAAAATATTTGGTCTATCTCTGGGACAGGTTATTGCATTATTTTTATTTTATGGTCGACTTTGGGTCATCCCAAATTTCTACAATTTAATGTTCTGATTTTATAATCTGTCGAAAGCAGAAGGGGCCAGTCCCCAAATGTTCCCCAAATACTGGGTGAGCACAGAAGGAACCCTGGCATGAGGCAGGTGCTAAGCCTAGGTGCACTGGGACAGCCCTGTCCGCGACTGCAGCTACATACAGAGATGATCACGTACCCAGACTCATCGCCATGTTGGCACTGTAGTTCTGCCCACCCTCCTGCTGCTTCTCCGCAGTATCAACAGCGTCTGATGAGGTTTCAGTGACGTCCAACACTGCTTTCAGCAGCTGAGAGGGAGGGAAACATGTGGGCATTAAGTTCTGTGGTCTGACCCACAAAAGGCATCTCTTGCTTCCCACCCAGGTTCACGTTCAGCGTGTGCTCCTCCCTGGGCCCTCAAGCATGTGACATTCACCCCCAAGGAAACCCATGGGTGACGGCAGGACTTCCAGCTACCTGGAGACTCACCCATCAGGGTTCTGCAACCTAACTTCCTTCTTCCTAGCCCAGCGGGGATGCCATACTAGCAGGTGCCCCATCCCACACTGGTAGCCAAACAAAGCCAATGGCACGGTGGGAATATATCCCATGTTGGGGAACCGTTGTCCCCCAATCAAAGGGCCTTTCTGATGGGAGAGGACAGGAGCCTTTCCATTACGTAACTAAGACAAATGTAGAAGCCCTGAGCCAATGTCAGACTTCCACAAATGGCCACTGGGCTCATCATCATAACCAAAGCCTGCGTTTAGGTTGGCTCTGGGGCTCTGAAATGTAAAACTTAAGGAGTAAATATTCACATAGTTGGCTCAGCAGCGTGAGACCACTTTCTCCTGTTTCTCTGAGCTGAGTCAAGGGCACAAACAGGAAGCGTGTGGCTGTAGGGCATAGTTCTTCGTCAGACACAAAAGCTCCTCCAGGCCCAGGGTCTTGGCTCAGGTAACAGCCCCTGAAGTGTAGTGAGGTCCTCAAGGGGCCATCAGTTTAACCTTCATCCCCTGCACGGCACCAAGAGAATCTCCTGCCCTAACCCACCGAAGGACCCAGGCTGAGGACGGAGCCCAGAACCCAGTTGCGCCACTTGCTCACAGGGAGCCTGGGCCAAGCCCCGCCCAGCCCTCTGCCTCAGCCCCAGGGCCCCTGGCTAGGGCCTACAGTGGGAGAGGAGAGGGCGAGTCTTACTTTGCGGCAGGAAATCAGAGTCCTGCACACGGTTTCGATGATGGGGCCCAGCGGGTGGATGAAGGGGCAATCCATGCTGCAGCACTCGCTCAGCTCCTTGTCGTACACTTGCAGGAAAGCCAGGACGAGCTGGTGGAAGTCAGAGATGACCAGGCGCAGCTTCTGCTCCAGGATGCCAGCTTCGGCACTGCCCCTACCAACCGCTCTCTTGTGCTGCACAAAGCCAGAGAGAGAGGGCCCCTTGAGGTTGCCCACCTGCGCATGGGGCACCAGGTCCCTTCCACCCAGCAGGGGCCACCCCGGCCTTCCAAAGACCAGAGGTGGAAAAGAACACCTTGCGTTCGAGCAAGGTTGATGCTTCTGGCCTCAACCCTGCCGCTGCGGCCTGGGGGGGGGGGGGGGCGGCGGGGGGGGGGGGGGCAGAGTCCTCCTCAGGGGAATAAGGAAGCCAGGACAAGGATTTCTGGGAGGGTTGCATCAAAGGCAGCTCAGGGCCTGGCGTGCAGCTCACCTGAGGCCAACCCTTTGAATTTGACAGGAAGCCTCTCAGCTCCTACCCAGAGCTTGTCTGTCTCTCCCCTTCACGTGAGCTGAGAAACCACTGCATTCTAGCCCATCAGGACCTAGGCACACGCTACCTCACTTAAGCCTTACCCCTAAGCTCATGGTAAAGATGGGGTGCCTTAGGCCCTGCGAGCCAGCACTCTCACCTCCGCCCGCAGGAGCTCCAGCTTGTCCACGCTCTCCTGCAGCTGCTTGACCATCACTAGCACAGTCTTGTCCTCATTCACCTTCCTGCAGGAGGAGAAGGGGGGGCACTTCCGTCGCGGGCCACACGTGGGAGGAAGAGTGTCTGAGATCACAGAACCATGCAGGGCCCATACCTCTTGCTGTCGTAAACACTGGTGTTCACACGTGCTTTACAGTCAGGTCTCAGGAGACTGCGCAGATGGGGGCTGGAGAAGAGGGTCCCCAGTATCTTCTCGTTCTCCTCCCTGGTCTTCTTGAACTGCCTCTCCACACTACAGAGAAAGCACAGGGCCGCAGTCACTAGCCGGACGGAGCACAGCATCCGTCTGTGCTGGCAGCCTTTTGAGGTCCCATGGGGGAAACGCAAGAGGCCACATAAGAGCTGGCCGAGAGGCCAAGAGAAGGGGTCTCCTCCAGTCCCCGCCTGCTTTGGTAGCTGGAGCTGAGCCCCATAACCCCAACAGCCCACCTACCAGCAGGGTCAGCCTGAGCACACCCTCCCCTCAGCAGGCCCGACCCCTTTCACCCTGACAGCCCGGGACCTGGGCCAGTATGCACCTGCGGCCGCCAGGGCGAGGGGTGAAACCCCAGCTAGAGATGTGCCCAGTGGCAGGCCCAGGTGCCCAGCAGGTCCCCGGCCGACCAGCTCCGGATGAAGAACCAAGGACACCTGCTGGCCATTCCGTGGAGGGCCTGTCCCGAGACTTTACCTGGACATGATGAGGCATCCGGTGGCCATGCTCCGGACCGCGTCCAGCAGCTCTTCCATGACGCGCAGCTGCTCCAGGGTGCCGCCCCGGCCCTGGACAGGAGACACCGCATGCGCTCACTGACAAGGCATGCTGGGTGCCCCCGCCGCACACCCCACCCTGCTGTAGCTAGCGGGGAAGAGAAGCCTGGGCCACCAGCTCTGTAGTCCCCACCCCGCAACATTGTGGACTCCCTGTTCACGCCCAGCCCTGGGCTGCGGTAACGCCTGGGACCACTCTGGAAGTGACAAGTGCTGTGGAAACACATGGGAGCGTGTGCTCTTTATACATCCAACAGTGTGGCTTCTTGAGTGGGCGTGCAGGATGCAGGAGGGCCTGCTGAAGGCAGAACACACCTCACAGGGACCTGATGGTGGCCTGATCCTCAGGAACAGCTCCAGGAGGAGGAGGCCTGTCCTTCTCAGCGGATCACCCTCCCCAGCCAGGAACCACCAAGCTGATGGCACAACAAGACGGGGCCCTGGAGGTGGCCTGCACCAACCCTGCTCCCCCTCACAGGCAGATCAAAGACTTGTCCCTGGCAGGCGGCACGCAGCCAGCCTTCTAGCAGCTGAGTTAGCCCCCTGCCCTACAGGTGGCTAGGATTCCTGGCAGGCAGCTGCCCAGCCCGGAGCTCAAGGCTTCAGAAGTATAAAGCCTCCCTCCTTCCATGGAGTGGCAGGCCCAACTTTTTGCCAAGGTTACCACTCAGATGGTGACTTCTGGCTGTGTTCTCTCCTCTGCTCTCCCCAAACCTGCACTCAGCCCAGCCCAAACCCAGAAGAGAGTTCCAGAAAAGAGAACCCCTAAGGCGCAGAGAGAGCAGGAGAAATCCCTGGCCTTTTCTCCCTCCCTCTTCTTTGTTCTCTCAGATCTCAGGCCTCTGGCAATAGGATGGTGGGGGTGGCAGCAGCAATCAAAGTGGCTGAGGGCAGAAAACAGCAGGGGCAACACTCGGGGGACAGGGAAACTTCCTCTCCATTCGGTGGAGGTATGGGGCCAAATCCTGCCACCCCTTCTTCCTCTCTGTCCTCCTGCTGCTGTGGTGCAGTCATGACGTGAGTGATTTACGGCTGAGGACGCAAAAGGAGAGTCCCTTCCCACCCCCATCCCACCTCGCGGGAAACAGGTAGTATAAAAGAGATGACAGGGAGGGGAGAGCTTAGGAAAGTGACCCCAGAAATCTGTTTATGAATGTCTGGGCTCACCCTATTCCTCCCCACCCCCCCGACCCATTTGAAGGTGGATCTGATCTTGATGAGCATTCTGAAGACTGATCACTAAGCCAGGGGAGAAACCACGCAGGTCCCAGGCCAACCACCAGGTGGCGCACGTGCAAAACAGACACAAATGGCACAAAGGCTGTAGGAACTGAGCTGTCACTGGGACCATAAGCCAGAGAAGCAGGCAGCTGAAACCAATCAGATTAAGTGCCTTCTCAAATATAAACATTCTCCATAAAATTTAAGACCCAGAGTCAAAGTAATAGTCAAAATGTCCAGGACACAATCTAAAATTACTTGGCACATGAAGAAAACCACAAAAATCTCTACTTGAATGAGAAAAGACAATCGATTAACATCAATGACAAGATGATGCAGGTGCTGGAGTAACGTGACAAATTTAAAGTGGTCATCATTAAAATGCTGAATAGGTCATCATGAATACTCTTGAAACAAAAGTTAAAATAGAAAGTATCAGCAAGAAAATAAGATTTTAAAAAAAACACATGGAAACTTTAGAACAGAAAAAAACAAATTAAAATCTGACTGAATGACTCAACAGCAAAATGGAGGGACAGAGGAAAGAATCAGTGAACTTGAAAACATTAACAGAAACTATATAATATGAGCAACAGAGAGAAAACTTTCCAGGTATGGCAAAGACACAAACTTGCAGATTTGCGAAGCTGAGAAAATCCAAACAGGACAAACACAAAGAAATCTTTCCACAAACACATAATCAAATTGATTTAAAAAAAACCTAATGACAAAGAAAACAGTGTTAAAAGTAGCGGTAGAAAAACAATGCATGACCCACAAGGGAAAAATGATTCAAATGACTTCAGATTTCTGAACAGATTCTGCAGAGGAAGAACTGCTAACCCAAAATTCTGTATCTAGTGAAAATATATATCAAGAATGAAGGGGCCGGGTCTGAGAGGCTCAGTGGTTGAGTGCTGACCTATGAACCAGAAGGTCACAGTTCGATTCCTGGTCAGGGCCCATGCCTGGGTTGCGGGCTCAATCCCCAGTGTGGGGCATGAAGGAGGTAGCCAATCCATGATTCTCTCTCATCACTGATGTTTCTATCTCTCTTTCCTTCTCCCTTCCTCTCTAAAATCAATAAAGATATATTTAAATAATAATAATAATAAATAAATAAATTGCTGAAGGCAGTTCTTCAGACAGAAGTGAAAGGATACCAGAAGGAAACTTTGAGTATCACAAACAAAGGAAGAATAAAATCAAGAACAAAACCCTATTATCATCTCAGTAGATACAGAAAAGCATTTATAAAATTCAACACCCTTTCATGACAAAAAACAAAACAAAAACTTAATGTAGGAATAGAAGGAACATCTTCAACCTGATAAAGGACATCAATTAAAAAAACAAACAGTTAGTCCAGCTAGAGTGGCTCAGTAGTTGAGCGGAGACCCAGGAACCATGAGGTCATGGTTGGATTCCGGTTCAAAAAGCACATGCCCAGTGAAGGGCGTGCAGCAGGCAGCCCATCAATGATTTTCTCTCAACAATGATTCTCTTATAACTCAAGAATAAAAAGACAAATAACACAATTAAATGTGGGCAAAAGAACTGAACAAAAATATTTCTCAAGCCGAAACCGGTTTGGCTCAGTGGTAAAGCATGGGTCTGCGGACTGAAAGGTCCCAGGTTCGATTCCGATCAAGGGCATATACCTTGGCTGTGGGCACATCCCCAGTAGGGAGTGTGCAGGAAGCAGCTGATCAATGTTTCTCTCTCATCCATGTTTCTGACTCTCTATCCCTCTCCCCTCCTCTCTGTAAAAAATCAATAAAATATATATTTTAAAAAAAACTATAATAAAAAGTATTTTTCAAAAAAAAATCTATAAATAGCTAATAAGCACACGAAGATGCTCAACATCATTTGTCAACAGGAAAACACAAATTAAAACCACAATGAGATCGCCCTCGCACCCACCAGGATAGCCGGAACCAAAAAGACAACAGTAAGAGTGGTGAGGGCGTGGAGAAACTAGAACCACACACGTTGCTGGTGGGAATGTAAGAATGGCCCAGCCACTTTGGAAAATAGTTTGGCTGTTCCTAAAAAGTTCATAGTCAAGTTACTATATGACCTAGCAACTCCTAGCCATATACCCCTCCTAGCTGTATACCCCAGAGAACTGAAAATATGTCTTTAGTCAAAAACATGTACAGGAATATTCACAGCAACATCCTATATGATAAAAGGCTAATATGCAAATTCTTCCCTCTACCCCCCAGGGAGTTTGAGCAGGAGACTGGGAGTTCTATCATTCACTCACTATGACATGTTCTGACCACCGCATGGAAAATGGCAGGCGACCAGCAGTAGCGGCTGGGCACTGAAGGAGCGAGGAAAGGAGGAGGAAGGAGGGCTGGGAGGCAGGAACCTGATAGGCCATGATTCCCGGCCAAGCCTAGGGACCCCACCTATGCATGAATTTCGGGCACTGGGCCTCTAGTTATTTATAATAGCCAAAATGTTGAAATAATGACTTCAAAAAATTTTTTTTTAATATTAAGAGTAGAGGGCAGGGTTTCTTTCTTTGAATCTGGAGTGACTTGTGGGGGTGGGGAAAATGCATGGGCTCAGGAGTCACGGGCCTGGGTTTGTCACTGGGTGACTTCAAGTGAATTGTCACCCCTCCTGTCAAATGGGCCTAAGGCAAGGACTACTGCCACAGGTGGGCGTGACAATTACTGACATGTTATAAGTACTTACCACAGTGCTGGCGTGTAGAAAGTCATCGACTGAGTACAAGATGCACTCTGTCCCTTTGGCCATCAGAAGCCTCGGCCTCCTCAGCAATGGTTATGCTCTACTCAAGGAATCCTATGGGTTCCTGCGCTGGGGGGCTAGGGAGCAGGGGTGGGGATGAGTGGGAACACCCTCTCTTACCAACAGGATGTCCGAGGTAACCGGCCCAATCAGCATCAGCTCACGGCTCACTGACAGCATCACTGTCGGAACACAAGGATTCGATCACTGCAGATACCCACCCAAATAGGAGAGGACATCAGGCACCCAGGGGGTGCACAAATATGCAGGGTTCCCAGTAGTTCTCTGGGAAGGGTGTTCCTGCTCCATGTCAGCAGGTCCAGTGACCACAAGGCCTGCAAGAGCCAGGTGGATAAGGAAGCAGGTGGACTACACACCTAGGTGCTAGGACTGCCTCTTTTTTTATTAATTTTTTATTATATTTTTCTTACATATGTGTCCTTATTCCCCCATTACCTCCCACCCCCCCTCATGCCCCACTCCCCCTATTGTCTGTGTCCATTGATTAGGCTCCTATGTATGCATACAAGTCCCTTGACTGATCTCTCCCCCTTACTCCCACCGACCCCCGCCCCCTTCCCTGACGTTTGAGGTTCTGACTAACGTTTCTCAGTCTCTGGATTTATTTTTTATTCATCAGTTTATGTTATTCATTATATCCCTCATATGAGTGAGACCATGTGATATTTATCTTTCTCTGCCTGGCTTATTTCACTTGCACATGTGTCAAACACAAGGCCCGCGGGCCAAATCCGTCCCGCCAGGCCTTGCAATGTGGCCCACACCGCGCTGTCATCACTGCACTCCGCTGCGTTTCCATCACAATGACAGTTTATGACTGTTCAGTAAACCATTCGGCCTGCGATTTAGGCTGGATTTTAGATTTTGGCCCCTTCTCTGATTGAGTTCGACACCCCTAACTTAGAGTAATGCTCTCAAGTTCCATCCATGCTGTTGCAAATGGTAGGAACTCCTTCTTTTTTACACAGCATAGTATTCCATTGTGTAGATGTACCACAGTTTGTTAATCCACTCATGTGCTGATGGGCACTGAGGCTGTTTCCAAATCTTATCTATGGTGAATTGTGCTGCCGTGAACATAGGGGTGCATATATCCTTTCTGATTGGTGTTTCTAGTTTCTTGGGATATATTCTAGAACTGCCTCTTGCTGTGTGACCTGCACCCAGTCACTGCCCCTCTCTGGGCATCAGTTTCCTCACCTAAAAATAAGGGGTCACATCCAATGCTCTTCCATATAGGGACCTCTGGCTTCTAGCAGAAGCCAGACAGCTGCCTGAGGAGCTGACAGAGGTCAGAGAACCTTCCCAGGTGAGAGCAGTATAACTTCCTGCCGCACTGCCAGCACCCAAAACAGTGCAGGGTGCCCCACTAAGACTTGTCCGATGGATTCGTGATTCTAATCTCCCTCTTTTTTTTCAAATATATTTTTATTGATTTCACACAGAGAGGATTTAAGAGAGATAGAGAACTAGAAACGTCGATGAGAGAGAGTCATCGACTAGCTGCCTCTTGCACACACACCCCCGGGGATGTGCCCGCAATCAAGGTACGTCTCCTTGACCGGAATCGAACCCGGGACCTTTCAGTCCGCAGGCCAATGCTCTCCAGGCGTCTTCAAACTACGGCCGGCCCGCGGGCCACATGTGGCCCGCAGAGTAGTCTGATCCGGCCCGCCAGGTTTTTTGGGCAGTGAGCGCAGCCGAGGTGTTACAGTAGGAATTAGTAGTTCATATAGTCCGGCCCTCCAGCTCTCTGAGGGACCGTGATCTGGCCCCCACTTTAAAAAGTTTGAGGACCCCTGCATCCACTGAGCCAAACGGGTTTCGGCTCCAATCTCCCTCTTTGTCTCAGTTTCTCCCATTGACACTCTTTGACAAGCACTCATGTCTATCGCCTGCTTGGACACTCAGCACACTCCCACTAGCTGGGCAGGGCTGAGGTTATTATCACACTTTACAGAGGAGAAAACTGAGGCCGGAAACGGCCAGGTCAAGGCTGTGGGCCGGGGTTAGCACCTGTGCGTGCATGTGCGTTAGACAATGTAAGTGCTGTCTGATGGCCAGGCTCACCCGGCTTGGCCGTGGTCCTATGGGCAGGGAAGTAGCAGACACAGTGTGGGGGAGGCCAGCCCCCAGGTCAGCCTTGCAGGCTTCGAGACACAATGTCTTGTTCTTTAGGCCTATCTGAGCCTCGGGGACAGCTGCCCCCAGACAATGAACTTGGCAGTGCCGGCTGGGACATGGGTCAGACCTCCAGGGTCCAGTTTACTCCATCCTGGCGTGCGTGGTTGGGCCAAAGGCAGGCCCGTGGAAATTTCAACTTTTAGAGAAATCACTGTGAAGATGAAGAGTTAGCCGCCACCCTGAGGACCACAATTGGGCACCCTTTACCTAATAATGCCCATTACAGGGTTATGGACAGTTTCTGCTGGGAAAGGATTGAAAAGAAGTGGTTACAAGACGAGCCCCCAGGGCCAGTTGCCTGGAGTGCTCCTAGGAATACCCGGTGTAGTATGTACGTGCACACACCAGTGGCACAGGACATACCCATCAGTGGCATCTCTGCCCACAGAGCTTCGGGGGATGGAGTGGCAGGTGACAGGTTCTTGGTCCTATTCACATGTCCCTATGAGAATAGCTCACCCATTTGCTATATCAGTGGGGGAGGAAGCCTGATTCTAGAAGGTTCTAGCAACACCCAAAGGGTGTGCACTATCCAGAAGAAACCAGTCCAATGGGAAATTCATAGGTCACTAAGGAGGCCAGGCACAAGCTCAGAATTGCCCAGGATCCCACCACCCAACTCCATACTCCCCTCACACAGACTCACCCTGGATCTTCGCTTCCTCTGGGGTCCTGCTTGCTGGGTTAAGAACTGGTGCCGAGGAGGGACAGGCCCTGCAGGTAAAGAGCAAAACCAGTCAGGGCGGAGTGAGCTGCAGAGGCACCCTCACGACCCCTCCTTATACAAACCCTAAAAAGTGAATTACTGTCTGGCTGGTATGGCTCAGTGGTTGAGCACTGACCCATGAACCAAGAGACCGTGGTTTGATTCCAGTCAGGGCACATCTTAGGTTGCAGGTTCGATCCCCAGAAGGTGCGTGCAGGAGGCAGCCAATCGATGATTCTCTCTTATCATTGTTTTTTTTTTCTCTCCTTCATTCCTCTCTGAAATCAATAATTTTTAAAAAGTGTGTGTGTTTTTAAATCAGCGGCGGGGGGGGGGGGGGGGGGGGGAGAAGAGGACTAAGCTACTCCAGGTCTCAGCTTTAAGCCATTTGGAGGCTCCTAGTATTATGGGCTCCCCACTGCAATTCCAGCTGCCCCTCCTAGTGTGGTGGAGCCTCAGCTTCGATGACACCACAGAGATAAATGAAACAGTGGCCACTCAAAAGCATCTTGCCTTAAGATGCCAAGCTGGTGGACAGAGCACTTTCCAGATACAGACCATATCCAAAGGCAGGAAGGGCCACAGTGCCTGGCAGGCAGCACAAGTGTAAGGTGACCAGACGTCCCACTTTTGGCAGGACAGTCCCAATTTTTAACAATTTTCGGGGACTGTCCCGCCAAAAGCGGGACGTCTGGTCACCTTACGTAAGTGACACGCAGCTCCGGCCTCCCGATGGGTCTCCTCCGTGAGGAGGCCATGGTGTGAGCCCCAGGAGCGGGATGCCATGGTGGGACCTCCCTACATGAAGACAAGAGGCTCTTCCCTACCCTGGCATCAAGATATCTAGAGACCACGCCTTCTCGTCACGCTGACTGTTCCATGGAGGGGGCTCACTGCTCCTTCCCTGGGGCCATGCCCAGAAATGCCTGTGTCCCAGGCCACACCTACCCTGACCATGCTGGGGCCCTGGGAGCCAATGGGACCGCCCCAAGCCTGGGCCTGGGACCCCTGGGACTGCAGCAGAGAGAGGGGGGCCGCACCCACCAGCCTCAGCTGCTCAGCTGCACCTGTCTTCATGCCTCATTAAGACAACACAGCCCCACCCCCTCCCTGCCTGCCAAAGGCAGGGGCAGAAAGGGCAGGAGAAAGCGCCCACCATGGGAAATGCTAGGAGGCTGCCCCCCGGGCCCGCTTGCCAGGCAAGGTCCCCACTCACAAGGCACCGAGCGCTGGCGAGTGCCCAGCGGCCCATCAGGCTGAACCGCAGCAAAGCACTTCAACACACTAAGGAACAAGTCCGCAAAGGCCTAAGTGACCTTGCTCGGGAAGGGCTTTCATTAAAGTCGATTTTCCTGGAGCTGCGGGGAGCGGGGCAGAAACGAACAGTGTTCCAAGCCTTGAAAGCAAGTACAGCTCTTTGAGAGCCAAGGAAACTCGTGTTCCACGAACTCATCCCCCCAGGGGGCCCTGGGGCTCCGCTCCCCTCCTGCACAGAGGGCCAGCTCAACCGGCGTTTAGGCTAGCCACCAGAGCTGCCATGCTGAGCTCCCCAGCCCATACTGGGTGCGGCTCCCAGGTTCTGCCGAGAGGGGTGAACAAGGTGGCCCCAGAGGAGGACTGAAATGGAAAGCCACGTGCAGAGAAAGCCAACAGGAACTGGGGGGGAGGGGGGAGACTGAACCCCGTCCAAGCCTCTTTCTGGGCTCTTGAAAAGACTAGAGCACTTTTGCCAGCGTGGGATCATAAAAAGGATTCAGTTTCTTGCGTTTAAAAAAGCACTAAAAGCATCTGAGGAATGCAGCTGTGGACTGCCCCCCGTGCCTCTCTTGCTAGCAGAGCGACCCAGTGCCCAGCTTCCTCTGGCCAGGCAGATCTGGGCTCCCCTCCCCACCCCAGGATCTACGAGCCATAGCCTTGGCCTCCCTCTTCCTGGGAGGGAGCTCAAGACCCCCCCGCACTAGAGCCGAAGCTATCCCCAGTACCCTTTCTCTCTTCCCAGGTTCCCAGACAAGGCGCTGGTCCCTCCGAGGCTGGCAATGGCTGGCACGTGAGCCATCTGCCACTCTGAGCCAAGAGCCTGCCATGTTTCCCCGCAGCTGTTGCTACATCTTCCATATTGATCTCCCTGCCTCTGGTCTCCCCCCTCCAAATCCATCTGCCACAGAACCCCCGTCACCTTGTCAAGATGCCAATTTCAGTACGGTGCTTCCCTGGTCCCACGCTCTTCCTGCACAGGGCACCAAGTTCAAAGGCCTTGTGTGGCCTGCAAGGCTCCACGTGAAGCTGCCCTGGGCTGCCATTCAGGTGGCTGCTCCCTGGCTTTCCCTCCCACACAACTCCCTGCTCCTGGGGAAATGAGCACCTACCCATCACCTATTCCATCCCAGGTCAAATGCCACCTCCTCTCTGCCAATGTCTGTGGCACTCAGACTGCGGAGGTGTGCCCAGGACTGGGATTCGTGCCTGGGCCTTTTGCAGTCACTGAAGCCCCAGTATCTGAATCTGAGGCGCCTGGAATGGCACCGACACATGTGTCCCTGGGCCCTCTTATCAGTACAACACTGCTGCAGTCCAGGCTGATGGGGGAGCCCTGCCTGGTACCTGCCCTACCAGTTCCCAGTGCTTTGCAGAGCCAAACAGCACAGCAGGCGAGACAAAAGCAACAGGCCGAGGACTCTGGCAGGAGGGGTGTGCTCCAAGGTTGTAAGTGTCCAGGGGAAGAAAGGATATGTTTTGCCTTGGAAACTGGAGACTTTTTTCAAAAATATATTTTTATTGATTTCAGAGAGGAAGGGAAAGGGAGAGAGATAGAAACATCCATGATGAGAGAGAATCATTGCTCAGCTGACTCCTGCATGCCCGCTACTGGGGAGAGAGCCCACAACCTGAGCATGTGCCCTGACCGCGGAATCGAACCGTGACCTCCTGGTTCATAGGTTGATGCTCAACCACTGAGCCACTGCAAGCAGGCAGAACTGGAGACCTTTCAAAAAAGAGATAGGATGTGCCCCGGTTCAGTGGGTTAGAGCGTCATTCCATGCACCAAAAGGTTGCAGGTTTGACCCCTGGTCAGGGCGTGTGCGGGAGGCAGCGGATCAATGTAGTTCTCTCTTAACGTGGATGTTTTTCTCTTTCTCACTTCTTCTAAAATTAATTTAAAATTTTTTGTAATAATCCTATATACTAAAAGCCTAATAAGCAAAGTGTCTGGTTGACTGGTCGGCCATTCAACCAATCAAAGCATAATATGCTAATGATACGCTAAGGGCACTCAACCGCTCGCTAGGACGTGCACTGACTACCAGGGGGTAGACGCTCTGACCAGTAGGTTAGTTGCTGCTGGGGTCCGGCTGATGAGGACTGAGCAAGATGGGCCGGACACACCCTGGAGCCCTCCTGTGGTCCCTCCCCAGCTGGCCAACCTCCTGCATCTCTCCCCGGCCCTGATCTTGCACCAATGGGGTCCCTCGGCCTGGCCTGCACCCTCTTACAAATCCGGAACCCTTTGGGGATATCGGAGAACCAGTTTCAGCATGATCCCGCAGGCCAGGCCGAGGGACCCGACTGGTGCATGAATTTGTGCACAGGGCCTCTAGTAAAAAATAAAAGAAGATGTGTGACCTGGGTCTTTGAAGGCTGTGTCAGAGTATGTGCGACATGCAGAGACCTGAAGGGCACTTCCAGGAGGGAGAACAGGTGAGCGAGCACACAAGGGTTGAGAGCATGTATGCCCAGGTCGGTGGTGAACCTGAGGGACGAGCCTGCAAGGCAGCAGGAGAGACGTAAGCATGAAAATGCCTCCTCCTTCCTCCTGGCTGTCCCTAGGATACCCAGCTCAGGGACAGGCCTGCTGGCATCCTGTGGCCCAGCAGGCATCAGCTGGGTACAGGCTAGACCCTCGATCGTCCACTGCCAGGTTCCTGCCCAGGTGTCTTCTGCAGCTGCAGAGGCAGACAGGCCAGGCAGAAGAGGGGCAGGCCCAGGCCTGGCCTCATGAAAGATGCCTGTACCAACCATGCATGGGCATCCCTGGGGCTCATGCCCAAAAGCACTGTGGAGCTTTCTAGATCTTTCCCCTTGCCATCAAGGCAGGATTTGCTTCCCCTACACAGTGCCAAGCACATACACCAGGCCACACCTTGACCCGAAGGACTGGGAAACCGGGGGGTCTTGGCCCTGCTTGTATCTCCTCAGTGATAAGACCCGAGGCAGCCAAAACCGGTTTGGCTCAGTGGATAGAGCATCAGCCTGCGGACTAAAAGGTCCCGGGTTTGATTCCGGTCTAGAACATGTACCTTGGTTGCGGGCACATCCCCAATAGGGGTTGTGCAAGAGGCAGCTGATCGATGATTCTCTCTCATCCATGTTTCTAACTCTCTATCCCTCTCTCTTCCTCTCTGTAAAAAATCAATAAAATATATATTTTTAAAAAGACCCGAGGCAGTTAAGTTACAACTCCAGCATGACCCTCGAGTTCCCAGTCTGAAAACAAAACGACTAAAGTAAGTATAATAGATCATTTCTCAGGCCCCTGCCAGCCCAGAAATCAGTAAAGTAAAAAAAAAAAAAAAAAAAAAAAAAAGAATGCTCAGAAGCCAAGCTGAGTACTACAGCCAAATGGTGTGTGTGTGGGGGGGGGGCATTTTCACCCCAAATTTGACCATGGCTCTATAGCTGGCACTTCTTACCTCAGCAGCTGCTGTCACGGTGATCTGGGGTAGAGAGAACAGGGCCCCTGGGGTAAGGGCCAGGGGAAGGGGGGAGGGAGGAGGAGAGGGGCGGGACAGTGGAACCAGGGACAGAACACACCCCTTCTCACTCAGGTGGGTTGGGGGAAGCGGCAGCCACTCCATTACCGTGTATACATCCACTGCAGGATATCCATGCGGTACTTCGAGGGAGTACACAGCAGTTGTTTCACAGTCTCCGGTTGTTTGATGTGAAGACCCCTCATTAAGGGGCATTGGAGGTCCTAAGCAAGGAAAGGGAAGCTTTCAACGAAGGGCTGCAATGCAGTTCTGCGCTCATGCCCTTGCTGCTCCTCCACGCATGTTCACTGCCACGGGGCACACACCAGGCTTGTTAACACTGACAACTGCCTGCAGGCACAGTCCACCCCCACCCCCACCCCCACTGTGTGCGCGCTACAGTGTCCTCCCCTCTCCTCCCCTCCATTTTGTCCAGGGGTAATTTCCCCTCCTTCTCATCCCCATCCATGACAGCCTGCCACCCCACTTCCATAAAACACGCCCCTCTCTGGGCCCCCATAGCTATTTGACCTAGTAGCAAGTAAGGGCTTTAGTAAGATTCTGGCATGGAGACATCAATGCAGGCTTCTGGCTAAGGGACTAAGAGGACTGGGTGGAGGGAGGGGAGATGGGGCCTACAGGGCGTCTCTTGGAAGGGAGTAGAGGAGAGGGGAGGAGGAGAGGAGAGGGAAAGGGGAAGGGAAGGGAATGGGGGAGGGGAAAAGGGGAGGGGAGAGGGTCAGGGAGGGGAAGAAAGAGGAGTGGAGGGGGAAAGTGAAAGGGGGGAATGGAGGGGAGGGGGAGAGAAGAGAGGAGGAGCAAGTAGAGGAGAGAGAGGAGGGGAGGATAGGGAAAGGGGGAAGGGAGGGGGATAGAAGAGGGGAGGAGGGAGTAGAGGAGGGGGAGAGAGGGGAGGGGAAGAGAAGAGGGGAAGGGAGGGGGCTAGAAGAGGGGAGGAGGGAATAGAGGAGAGGGAGAGAGAGGAGGGTAGGAGAATAGGGGAAGGGGGGAGGAAGGGGGATAGAAGAGGGGAGGGGTTAGTGGGGGGAAGGGGAGGAGGACAGGGGGAAGGGGTAAGAAAGGGGGACAGAGGAAGGGAGACAGGAGGGGAAGAGAACAGAAGGGGGAGGGATGGGGGAAAAGCGAAGGGGACAAGGGAGTGGGGCAGGGGAAGGGTGGAGGAGAGGGATGGGAGAATGGAACCAGGGACAGCTACCGAACCCTGTGTAGTGGGCTTCATCACTACTCCCACCGTTGGCCTGTGACGCAGATCCGTCTGTGACGCAGCATGGACCCTTCCCGCCTGTCTCCCCAGAACCCACCCCCACCCCCAAGACCAACGGTCCTCTCCCTCCCCGCCCTTGGCACTAGTTTTGCGCGCCCAGAAGGTTCAGCACACTCGCGGCGCCAGCCAGGACTGCCAGACACTGGCCGTGGAGCCAGCAAGAAAGTCCGGGGCCACTCAAAAAGCAGACCCATACACCCCTCCAGGCGTCCCCAACAGCGGGAGCGCTGCCTGGAAATAGGGGCGGCACATACAGTGCCACCAGCTTCCGCGGGAGGCCCGCCAGCCCCTCCGCCCGACCCCGCCGCCGCCGCCCCGAGTGGGTCCCTGGGCCCGCAGCACCTTCAGCTTCTCAAACACGTCGATGGCCAGCTTAGACTCTCTCTCCTCAGCCAGGTTCTCGGGGCAGTAGCAGCCTCCGCCAGCGCCGGCGGCGGCATCCCCGCCCGCGGCAGCGCCAGCGTCAGCACCAGCAGCAGCACCAGCGGCAGCACCCAGCTCGGCCATGTTTCACGCTCTTCGTGGCGCCCGGGCTCACAGGCCGGCGCTGCTGCCAATCACGCAGTAGCCGCAGTCCCGCCCACCAACCAGAGACGGGGCGGGGCTTCCACCTCGCCTTCCCATTGGGTTTCTCACGCGCCAGAGAGGGGCGGGGCGAGACAGTGGGCGGGGCCTGGGCGGGCTCTCCTACACCAGCCGAGCGCGCGTCACTGGGGTGGGCGGCCGGATTGGTGACGCAGGCGGGTGCGCCTCCTCCAGGAGAGGGCGCTCCTGGGTCGGGTTCTCCCTGGGAGGATGGAGACTGAATGGCACTGGGACTTCTGTTCCTTCTCCTAGCACTATGCTCTAGTTCCTGTTTCCCACACTACTGGACTTAAAGGGGAATTTCTTGTGTTCGAATCCGACCCCAACAGTCACTAGTTAAGGTGACCAGACGTCCCGCTTTTGGAGGGACAGTCCCGATTTTTAACAATTTGTCCCGCGGATTATTTTTTTTAAATGGGGACTTTTTTAAAACGCTGCGGGACGCAGGACAAATTGTTAAAAATCGGGACTGTCCCGCCAAAAGCGGGACGTCTGGTCACCTTACACGAGCTGTGTGATTTGGAGCGGGTTACCTAACCTCACTTAATGGAAGTAATGAGAGCACTTACTTCATTGGGTTGCTATTGAGGAGGATGGAATGAGGAAAAAAAATCCTAGGACAGTACCTGGCACATAAAAAGCACTGTGTAGGAATAAAAGTTTACCGTTATTATGCTGGGCTCTGATACTTCCCCCTCCTCCTCCCCTAGACAGTCTTTGGTCTTCCTGGAAGGCTCGGTGGCTCCTTTTTGCCCTGTCCTCTTACACATTTCTTTGCATCTCTCAAAATAAGTGTGGAATGAAATTTGTCAGCTGGTCATCTCCCGTACTTCTAAAGCCCCCAGCTCAGTGAATGCCCACATCCCCAAGACCTGCTGATCAGATCAGGTGGGAAGGAGCTGGAGGGTGGCTGATGCCCAAGGAGTGGCAGGCAGTGGCTACCAGCCTTCCTCTGTCCTCTCCAAGGTCTATCCCTCCTCCGTGCCTCACCCTGCCATTTCCTGAAGGGTGGGATCAGGGGACAAATCTAGAGGCAGAGAGAAACCTGGGGATCTGGCAGGAAGCAACTGCAGGCAGCTGAGTGATGGGAGAAGGCTCAGCTCTGTCTGGGAGGAGGGGATGGGCAGGAATCTGGGCTAACCGGAAAGGACCCCTGGCCTGGCCTTGTGTGGCAGGGCCTGAGACCTTACTGAATAGTTTGTTATTCCCATCCATCCTGAGGACACAGAGCCTCAGAATTTGAGCTGAAGGGACAGCAAGCCCTGGCCCAGGGGCCCAGGGGCCCAATGACAGACAAAGCACTTTAAGCCCCCCTCCCCCTCCCATGTGGCCGCTGCCTTGGACTATAGGGACTTCGGGTTGTTTTCTAAATCCCTTTGTCTCTTTTTTGTTTTTCTTTCTTTTAAAAAAAATCTCATTGCAATCACAGCCCCAGCTCAGACGTTCAAATTTTTGTGGGTTTTTTTTTTTTTTTTTCTCCTGTGGATCTTTCCTAGGACTGGGGAATTTGGCGGGAGAAACCACGGCAGTGTGGTGGCCTCCCTCACCCTCCCCATATCCTCTGCTCCCGAGAATCAGGAAGAAACCAGCCCCTGTGTATTCTGGAAGAAAATTCCCCTTCTCCACCCAGCCCGATGGAGCCAGGACTCTAAGCAGCCCTTTCCCAGCTCAGCAGCTCTGTCTACAGCACAGGGTGGGACGCGGAGAGATTGGCAGGGCCTTGAGAGCAGGAGGAACATCTCAAGGGCCCATGGGGTCCATCCGCCTACACAGAAGACCTGCTGGCCAGCCCTCAGCCCATGGAGATGCTGCTGAGTATGCAGCAGCAGGCTCCAGCCTCCCTGCCCACATCACCCCCTCATCATGGTGCCTCCCAGGCATCCTCTACTGGAAAAACTGGAGGCTGGGATGGCAACAGAGACTGCTGTGGGGAAGAAAGGGCCGAGTGGTAGAAACTTCTGGAAATGTGCACTCGAGCTCAATACAAGGAAGTACTTCTACCAGAGGGCACTGTCTAAATACTAGCTTGCTGCCTTGAAAAGAGAGGGAGCTCACTGCTTTAGGTGTGCAAGGCCCAGGAGCAGGTGGGGGGGGGAGGGGGGCAAGTAGGGATGGGGGCGGGGATGGATTGCTACCGTGAAGGAGTGAATAGCTCTCAAAGGGTCATTCCTGCCCAGAGCCCCTGGGTTCTGTAAGGGAGGCCTGCGCGTCAGGGGCTGAAAATGGGACTGAAGAACCCTTCTTTGGAGAAGCGGGGTGCAGAGGTGTGGGAGTGATCCGAGGAGTCCGCGGGGCATGGGGCAGACCCAGACACTGCATTGCAGCAAGAGCCAACCTCCTGATCGTGGGGGAAACTTGGCCGTAGATCCCAGCAGGGCCTCAGCCATATGTCAGTGCTTGGAAAACAGGTTGGAAAATGAGACCAGTTGACAGACAGTGGCCCCACTGAGCCACGAACAGGCTGGCAGGCAGCACAGGCCGAGGCAGCCGCCACACGAAGCACCTCACTCTGTGCACAAATGTACAGCCAGCCAGACAGCTTCACCCTGCTCTGGAGCAATGGGCTCTCAGTGAGAGCTGTGCAGGGCACTGGGCAAAGGGATGGGGAGAGACAAGAGCATCTCAATCCCACTGTTCCAGATGCCTGAACAGCAGACCCTGGGGTGTGAGGTGAATCTTAATCAGAGGCCCCCTAACAAATATCACCCATGAAATCTGAAGTTCAAGGGTTAACTCCCCAGGAAGAGGAGATGGATTGGCATCTGCTGCATCCAGCGTAAATGAAGGCCTTGTCCACCCAGGGCCCATCAACTCCTGCCTCAGAAAGGCGGCAGCCTTGGAGGACAGAGGCTCCCTCCAGTCTACTGACCCCTAAGATTCCCCAGGAAGAAAAGGAGGACTGCCCTAGCCGGTATGGCTCAGTGGATAGAGACAGAGTGTCAGACTGTGGACTGAAGGGTCCTGGGTTCCTGTCAAGGGCACATGTCTGGGGTGTGGGCTCGATTCCCAGTGGCGGGGGCAGGGGAGAGCAGGAGGTAGCCAGTCAATGATTCTCTCTCTCATCATTGATGTTTCTCTCTCCCCCTTTCCCCTTTTTAAGCTCCTGGGATAGCATAACTCTGGAGGCTTCCAGATCTGCCACTAGATGTACTCTTACCATGAGTGTGGGCCTGAGAAGTCTAGTGGTTCTAGCCCTCAATGGATGAGACGGTCAACACGGGAGCTAACCGATGACTGCCAGTTCTAGAATGTTCTCATTCTAGGCTCGTGTCCACATTGGGAGTCCACTGGCACATGAGGATGGAGATGCAGCCCTGAGACCTTGGCCTTCTCTTCCTGTCTCTTCTGGTCCCTATGCTAGTGTGGGGACCATGACAATCCCAGGCAAGGGCAGCTGGAGAGCCAGCCCCACGGCCACTTCCTGCCTCCGAGGGGCCCTCCAAGCCAAGCGGATGCCACCCACGCCCAGGACACACGCTCCTGCAAGAGCATATGGCACATGCCCCCCTCCTCCCATCAGGTCCCAGCCTGTTCCTATGGCCTCTCCCCTCTGAGGGTGAATCTCACTTGAGATCCGAGGTGTTTGTAGGAGGGTGGACAGAGCCAGGCTGTGAGTGCCCGGTGTACCCACAGGTGAGCTCCTGGCCCCAGTGGAGGCAGGGGTGGCACCTACACAGATGGGGGCAGAGGCCAGGACCAGGGTCTTCACATCTCCTTGCTCTAGGCCCTACCCATGGTGGACGCCCAGGCCAGGTCCCCATGGACTTTTGAGTTCCTTTCTTTCCTGTTTGCAGCAGTCTGGCTTAGTGAGGGGTGGTGGGGAAATGGCACGTGTGCGGGTGGGGGCCTCAGCCTCTCCCGCCCACCCCCATGGCAGCGGCGGCGGGAGAGGAAATGGCAGGCGGGATAGCCCCCTCCTCGGGGAGACACTCGGGTCTAGACGGCTTGGCAAGGCCGGCAGGGCTGAGTCACATGCGTCTGGAGCTGGAGGTTCGGGCGCCAGGACTGGAACATAAATGTGCCCGGCTGGGCGGGGGAGGGGGTGCTCGACCTCGCCTTCTGGCTCCCTTGCCCCCAGGCCAGCAGGAGCCCTGGTTTCTGCCCAGACTCTGTCTTCTGCCTGAGCCCCCTCAATGCCCGCCTGGAGGGCCACGGGGCAGCTCCCACTGAGTTCTAGCAGGCCCCACATTGTTGGCAGGGACCACATGGGATTTCAGACCAGGAGGGAGATGTGAAATGATTCCCACGTGCCCTCATCCTAATCATGGCCCTACTCCTTCAACCCAGCCATGTCCCCCACCTGGGACCTTTTGAGTCCCAAAGCCACCCTTACTGCACTCTGCCCCCTCCTTCCACCTCCCACTGTCACCCACTCCAGGGACACCCATTCTGCAGCAGCTAAAGACCTCTGCCCCCTCTCTCTGTGCACCTTACTACCCGCCACCCCATCCCCAGCCTTCACTGTCCCGTTTGGGGTTCTGCGTACCCCCTCCCTCCTCCCCTCTCTGTCTCTGTCTGCCTTACTGTCTCTCTCTCTCTCCCACTTGCTCGCTCTGGAACACCAGGTCTCGGGCAAGCAGGCACGACACATGAGTCTGGATTGCTGATGTATTTAGTGCTCACAAAAGCCTCTGCAAGCAAAGTCGTTTAATTGGGACCAGATCCTCTGAGGTTTCAATGGCATTAAAACAAGATGAGTTTTCCTCTTGGGAAGAAATTGCTGGCAACAGGAAGAGGACATGGAAAGTTTGGCTTTTCTCTTCTCGAAGCTTAAAGAGGGAAAAGGCCCCTGTGCATTGATTTATATACCATAGATGTGTGAACATGCTCCCTACGGGTAGACCCAGCATCCGGGGGCACATGTGAACACACTGCTCTGGATGTTATGCAGACACAATATGGAAGGTTCAAGAACGGGCCTGGCCTGGCAGGGTGGCTCAGTTGGTTAGGCGTCATCTCTTGCACCAAGAGGTCGC